AGGACACCATAGTTTAAGGATCAAAACCATGAAAGATTCAGGGAAATCAACAGGATTACATCAGCCCAGAGTCCCTGTGCTCAGCAGCGCTCAGAGACACCATATTATTTAATTCTAAATGTATACCTTTTGCACAAGGCTCCATTTTATTAATCTCATGGTTCTAGCAAAACACAAAGCAGATCCCACAAGCCTTAAGCATGTCCTCCTCTGCTTCGTAGAACCAGTCAGTCACAAGATTTTGGATTTTTCCAAAATCACAAATTGAATACAAAATATAGTGGCTGCATACTTTGGTTCCAAAGCAGGTAACGATTTCTATCCAGTGTTACAGCATCTTTGTCTTCAGCAGTTCTATAACTAGATAGTTCAGGCTGCTGACTAAGTGCTATTCAATTACCCTCATTATGCACAGAGGTCACCTGCCAATTCCCCAGGCTGAAATTCAGCACCAGCCCACTTGAAAGACTCCTGCCTACCTTCACATCCCTTTTGTCCAGGGCAGCCTGGGACCTGACACACTTATCATCACAGCCATTGGCACCAAGCTCAATTTGTCCCCCAAGAACAAGCTTTTCATAAGCATCAAAAAGCATGCTAAGCACACCGCAGGTGTCAGAACAAGAGAATGTGCTGTTTACCTTGCCTTCTCACAACTCCTATCACTTTACCACCTAGAAGGCGAAAACTTAGCCCTTTCTTTTCATAATGCCAGTAACTCTGCATTCCAGAGATGAGGACCAAAGAGGGGAGCAGGACCTAGAGAAGCAGAGTAAACACTGAAAACCAGTGTAGGACCAACTAGGGAAGAGTCATAGCTAAGTGGTACACCATCTGCTTTGCATGCAGGTTCAATCCCCAGCATCTCCAGATAGGACAGGGAGTGACTCCCTATCAGATATCCTGGAGAATTAATGCCAGTCAGTTTGGCTGAGCTAGGTGGACAGTATAAGGCAGCTTCCTATGTTGCTCTGTGGCTGAGGGATGGTGCAAGTGCTCGTTCTCCAGTAGTTTGTGCTCTGCAGCCTCCCCAGGCGCTCACACATCCTGAAAACTTCATAACAGCCTTGGCTGGGCTTTTCTGTAAGAGCAGGAAGCCATGGAGGCCATCTACCATGCTCCTGACTGTCATTTCATTGTAATTTTTAAAAGTGAACTTTTAAAGAAATTAGTGAGTACCAGGGGGGGGCGGGAGGAGGGATTGTCAAAGTCAAAGTAAAGACTTCTCTTAACTATGAAATCAGAGAGTGCACCAATCCCAGAAGTTTGGTATTAAGCCTCTTTAGCTTCCCATACTTCAATTAAAGGGAAGGCAACATGATGCAACTCTTCCCTTTTTTTAATCAATACATACAGGCAGCTGGGAAGGTTGAAGAGCTCGGGATAAATGTTTCATGGAAAGGAACACACACAAACCACTTTGGCTACCTCGCCATGGTAAGGTGAGCTGAACCCTATACACACACATCCCCCAAAAAATCTAAAGCACCTTGTGAATATGGCAGGAGAACAGGAACCTCTTTCATGGAGGATGCTTTCAATAAATTGGGATGACAGGTTTTGGCACAGTGATACCAAAAATCCCACACCTTATATCCTGGATCCTGCTTGAGCCTTTTCAGGCAAAATCTTTCCAGTAGGAAAGAAAATGGGCAGCAAGTACACTTAAGTTCCATATTTGTGCTGCTGCCATTTTCCCCTCCACAATCTAAAAAGTTTCAGTCTCCACCCTTCGGTTAACAGAATCATCTACGTGTGGCTAGGAGGTGTCCCCTCCCAGCAAAATGTTAAAATCAAAACTCCAGAAAGCATGTGAAACTTGCATGACTGCTCCTTGGAACTGTGATTGCCTGGAACAAGAATATCTGTTTTCATCATACATCTATCTAACCAAACAGGATATTATGTTTTTAGGGCATCATAACGATTTCCAATAGCTATTCCACAACTTTCCATGACTAGAAGTGCTTTGGCACCTTAGAGATTTTCAGGCTGTCATTTTTTTCCACATAATAGATATGCAGTCGGCACTGATTTGTTATGCAGCATTGGCATATCTTTCCTTGCAGTAGTGTTTCTGTTGCTTGATTTCACATTTCCCCAGTGTTCAAACCCACAACAGCTTGCTGCTAGAAAAACGCAATTTAAACAGAAGGTCCAAAAAAAACACAAACCAGTACACAGACATCTCTTTCCACACCCCACCATCCTGCAATTTCACATCAACCTTTTACTCAATTTTCTTTCTTTCCCCCTTTTCTCATTGCAGAGTATGCTGAAACACTAACTCAGCTCTGCTTCAAAAGTTGCAAACTATATATAGCTAGCTACCCACACAGACACCCCATCTACTTACAGGCAGTGTAGAATATTGGACAGAGTGTTGGGCTTTGATGTGAGAAGTCCCTGTTCAAACACTCACTCGGCCATGAAGGTCACTTGATGGCCTTGAGCAAATCACCACCGCTCAGTTTTACCGAATTGCTACAAAGGGACTGAACTCTTTTTATCCTGCTCTGACTCCTAATAAAACAAACAAATAAATCTATGAAAAAGGAAGAGAGTGTGGCAATTTAGGTCATGGCTAACATAGGTAAGAGTAAAATAAGGTGGGACGTTGTCTGAGCATTGTATCTGACTGGCATATTCCCCCCCCACACACACACACACACATACACAGTGAGCTATACGAAATTGTACGATGCACTGGTCAAATCAGAGTATATAAGAACCTACTGTCCATTGCATATCCAACTTTCTGGTTTATTCAAGAAATATTAAAAAGGTGCATGTTGTAGACATAAGAATTTACTGAACTCTGCAGTTTATTTTGTCTATAGACCAGATTTTCTTGTTCCTTTTGACATCATGACACACTATTGTTAGAAGGATATTAAAAAGAACAGCTGCACACATGAGAAATTAGAAATCCAGGACTTTTATTACTATTTGACAGCATCATGACCTACCTCCCCCCGCCCCCCCCAAAAAAAAGAAGGTACAAAGACAGAAATTTAGCAGGAAGGAAGCTGAACTATATAGGAAACAAATGACAGTTAGCACCAAAATGGCAAAAACTCAACAAACGGTGACATGTGTGTGCTGGTTTTGGTGCTGCCCTGGACTCCCTGATTTCTAGTGAGCCAAACTTTCATAGCCAACAGACTCCATCAGTTGCTGAATTCTCGGTCCCTTTCACACACCTGAATATATGGTGTTGAAATTGGCTCATGCCGTAAGACTGTCTCTGAAGGTTTCCTGCGTGACTGCATGTCCTGAAGCAAACACCATCATTTATGAAGGGGAAGAGTCAAGCCTACCAACAAAATAGCCTGATGGCAGAACCATTTTGTTTTGCAATTTACAGTAAGGGAGGGTTGGCCCTAGATGAGAGACCACCTGGAAACCACATGTAAGGCACACACAGGTGTGCTGGTTGTGAGCTCTGACTAGTCTTTTCCTCGGTCAAGTGTATGCCTCACACATCTACAGATACACATCTCCCATTCAAACTTTGCAGCAGGGCTGGGGAACCTGTGGCCCGCCAGATATTTGCTGCACTACAACCCCCATCATCACTTACCATTGGCTATGCTTGCTGGGGCTGATGGGAGTTGGAGTTCAGCAGCCATGGAAGGACTGCAAGTTCCCTGCCCTGCTTTACAGTATTCACTAGAAGACAGCAAATTGACTCATGCATGGGGAGGGGATATCAAAGTTTTGACACTGGAGGGGATGGGGTTAAAACAGGGCAGAGCACAATTAAGAAGTGTTGGGAGGTGGTAATAAGAAAAGGACATTGAAAGTGTGTGACAGCACTTTAAGGTCTGCAGTTCACTTGCGGAATGAGCAAGACTGCTAAAAAGTGTGTGAAGTATAAAAATTCCACAACGCCCATATTATCTATTTGCTTACGGAGAAGTAAAGCCCATGTGAGTTCAAAGGGACTTTCACCTAGGTAAGCTGTAAACTGGATTGCAACTTAAGGCTGAACTGAACAGTGCTTACTTCTGAGCAGGCGGGCATAAAAATGAGTTATAAGGCTGCAATTCTATGTACAGTACATTTATTCTTTGGCGCGGGGGGGGGGTTGGATGGGGTTTGCTACGAGTAAACTTGTTCAGGATTGGGTGCCTAGCACCCTTCCTTGCGGCCCTCCTACCCTCCTCACCTTTCAGCCTGAGGCTATACCTTGCAGCCTCCCTCTCCCCATAACCAAAAGGCCGGGTAAGCTCCCGTTCGCAAGGTCAGAGCTAGCAACCCACGTGCCCCAGCGCCGGCTTGCGGGCGTCGAATTGCTGGCCTGAGCTCAGCCTACCAAGCGTGCCGACTTTGTTTTGTTTTCTGGCTTGCAAAGTGGAAACTTTCCTTCCCCAGCGGGTCCTGCGGGGCCGGGTTGTTATTATTTAGACAGCTGCAGGGGAGCCCCTGCCTCAAAACGGCCCCTCCCCGTCTTCTTTCCAAACTCCCCGCTTTTTCAAAACCCTGGGGAGGAGATCGAGTGGGGAGCAGTACCTCTATTAAATGGGGGGGGGGGGTTAAAAGAAACCGGCCGCCGCGTGTAGCAATCGCAACCTTGCAGAGACGCAACGAGCACAAGTTGCAACGAAAAGTATAAGGGGGCAGGGGGGGGGATGAGTTGAAGGATGAGTTGCAATGCAGTAACCTGCCCTGGGACCTTCGGATCAATTAATTAATAGCAGACAAAGCGGTGGGACTATAGTCACACGTGCATTTGAGACCACCATCGCCTTTCCAAAATAAATGGTAGGTCCCCGGGGTGTAGACTTCTCTGAAACGAATGCTTTCTTGTCGCTTTACTCCGCCTCCCCCCAAAAAACCAAAACCCGTGTGGACAGCTGCCGGAGTAGGATCGGCAGGCATTCTGCACACGCTCAGAGGCACTCGATCCCAAGAATCCAAAGGCTGGCGGGGGGGGTGAGGCGAGGGACGGAGGGAGAAAGGAAAGAAGCACACCCACCCAACAGGAGGCGCCTCACCTTTTGGTCGACGATGGAGCAAGCCATTTCCCGGACATGGGCCAGACTGAACTCCCCCGAGGAGTCTTGCAGCAAGAGCACCGGCTCCCGGCTGAGGCCGATCTGGAGGTGGAAGGAGATGCCGCCGCCGCCGCTGCCCGGCTGCGAGGGGCTGGGCGGCCGGATGACCGGCGGGGCGCTCATCGACAACTTCCCGCAGCACGGAGGGAGGAAGAGGCAAAGAGGGGGAGAGAAAGAGGGAGAAAGTCAGGCGGAGTTTGCAAGAGCAGGCCGGCAAAAGTTGGTTTCTGCAAAGTCCTCTCCGCTTCCCGGCTGAAAATGGCGGGGGTGGGGAGGGGTGGCGGCGTGAGGCGAAGGAAAGATGCCGAGGAGGAGGAGGAGGAGGGCGGCCAGGCGTGGTGGGGATGGCGCCGCCTCAGCGGCAGCAGCAGCAGCTTCTCCCCCACCCTCCGACTCCCAAGCGCGGAATCCCCGAGGCGGCAGCGGCCACTGGGCGGTCAAGCGCGCTCTGAGGGGGAGAAGAGGAAGGGCGGGAAAGCAGGCGCCAGAACCGCCGCCGCCACCACCCGGCGGCTTCAGGAGCAGCAGCAGCTCCGGCGGCGCCCGGGTGGCGGGGCAGGAGACGGGGCAGCGGCCCAGCTCCAGGGGGGCGGCCCGGCCTGCCAGGTGGCCCGAGGCTTAGTCGGCCCGCCGTTCCCTGAGGAGCCCGCTCCGCCGTTTCTCTCTCTCTCGCCTCCCGCACCCCACCGCCGGCTGCTCTTGCCTGCGCTTCCCTTCCAAGCAAACGCGCGCAGCAGGAGCGGGTGCGTAACTTTAAGGGTCGCCCTTGCCTAGGCAGGCATCCAGCGCTGGTTAGCAGCCTTGCCCGTGGCCTAGCCGGATGTCACAGCCGGTTGCCAACTTCTGAGGGGGGTTTTTGGGGGGGAGGTTGTCCCCTAGCGGGGCTCTTGTGACTTCTAAGGGCTCTGTGGAAAGTCAAATTGAGCAGATGAAGTTGATCCTGGTAGGAAGAAGAAAACTTCACCTGTGGTGCTTTGGTCTGTGTGGGTATCTGGTTGCTGTTAGAAGTTCAAGAGCCCTAGTGTGGAAGAAGCTGACCACCCTATTTTCTTCCCTTTACTCTTCACCTAACTTCCTACATAGCTTTCTCATTCCATTTAATAATTAAAAATAAAGTTTCTCCCTAACACCCAAGCGTTCCTCTGCTTCCTCCATGCTCCTGAGATTCCACTTGTAATGTTCTCATGCAATAGTTCCTAGAAAACATTTGGAGATAACATTTCGATTCTGGGTCCTTTTCCTCAGAGTTCAGTGGGACATGTTTTCATGCAGCAGGACAGCTACTGTGCCTACAGTTATGCCCCCATCCTTTGCATGTTGATTGGAACTTGCTTCCACTTGCACTGGCAGTCAATCCATTCAATATTTATTCAGATGCAGGTCCCAGTGGGGCTTAATCCAGAGAAAGTGTGTTTAATATTGCAAGCTTAGTCATCCTGCTGACCTGGGTGAACCCATTTCTTTACTACCTCTCTCACACATACCTGGACTCAGTTCCTTATAGCTTTCTCCCTGTGACCCTTCATGTGTCATCCCAAAGTCTAAAACCCTTCTTCAGCACCCCTGTGCCTTTCAGTCCCAAGGCACTCAGGTCCATTGTTTATATACTTCTGCCTCATCTCCTTTCCACCACCCAGCCATAAGTATTTTCATTTAAAAAAAAACCCCTCAACTTTGCCTTCCTTCCACAATTCTTTGGACCCCTCTCAAGACTGAAGACTTTGCAACCAGGCTCCCCTTGTCCCTTTAAATCAGCACTCTGTACCTTCAAAGCTGCCTTCATCCCAGCTGTAGTTGGTCCTTCCACCGCTGCTGCTGCTGTTCCTGATGTATTAGTGAGAGATAACAGCAAGGCTAGCTGGGAGAGCCTGAAGAAACTCTGTGAATCCCTCCTGCTTTTGTGACTGCTTCTGGGCTGGGTTATGATTTGCATGTAAGTAGGAGCTTAAACCTGTCAGCCAACTCTTCCTAGCTGTCTCCATCCAGCAGAGTAGCAGTGAGTGGTGCCATCCCCCTTCTCCAAGAGCCAGTCACATGCTGATAAAGAGAGGGAGGAAGCTGTCACCACACAGAGCTATGGATCTATTTAGCTGACTGCTGTGTCTCTCATTTGAGCTGCTGCTGCTGCTCCTCAGTGATTTATTTGTGAGTGAAGAATAATCAGGGGGGAAATCCCACCCACCACCTGTCATTTTTCTATTTACCAAACATGAAAAAACATCCTATCTAGTGAATGTCATTTACTAAGCAGAAGCTCTTTTACATCTCTTGGAGGAAAGAAGAGTTTGCCTTCCCGTTATTAGAGAAACTGCAAAACACATCTCTGTACTCCCATCTTCAAAGAATAAGACTCGAAGGAGTATGGAAACCTTCCAATTCATTACCCCAAAGTAAAGCACTGCCACTTTAACAGTCATTGCCTCTAGGGAAAAAATCCTGAGAACTGTAGTTTTTTAAAGCTACTGAAAGTTGTTAGGCGATCCCTCCTGTTTCCTTAAGAAACTATAGTTCCCATTATTCTTTGTGGGAAGCTATGACAGTTAAAGTGATATACAAGTGCTTTAAATGTATGGTGCGGATCCCTCCATGGTCTTGTAGCACTTTAGAAACAAAACAAAAAAATTATAGCATAAGCTTTGGTGGGCTAAAGTCCACTTCCATTAGATGTGTTGCATGTCACCCTATGAGCACCCTAAATATCTGCCAACAAGAATTCATACAAAAGATGAAGTGGTCTCCAGTCTATGAAAACATATGATAAATTTGTCGGTCTTTAAGATGCCCACAAGATTCTAAGCACAAAAAGGTCTTAGAATGATGCTGTATCTCATGTTCCAGTCCAGTGCTACATTGTACAAGCCAAGGCACAGCAATTGTTTTGAGAAATGGGTCACAATGAATCTATTTCCTCCAAGAGTGCCTGCAGCTGATCTACCGCTAACCTCTCAAGTACCTTACCTTAAAAAGTCGATATTTGTGACTGGTTGGTAGTTGTCAAATACCTCTGGGGTCAGGGGGACTTCTTCAGGAGTGGTTGCACTACTGCCTCCTTCAAGGCACCAGGCACCATCATGGGCTAACACTCCTTCAACCCACCTGGCCAGCCACCCTCAGGTAGCTTGAATTAACCATGATGGGCAGGGGTCAAGAGAGAGCATATGGTGGGCTGAACTAGTTCAAGAACCTTGTCCATATCCTCAGAGTTCAATTGAAACTGATCCCACAAGATCAGGCAAGATGTTGTGTTGGACACCTCACCAGGCCCTGTAATAATATGCAATTCTGTCCAATATGCACATTTTTGCAAAGCAATTTCCCCAAATGATCATTTTCAAAAACATATGCAGTTTATGCACACATCACCCCAATATATGCATTTTTGTATGGATTATTTGGCTGTACAACTGCATTGCAAAATCTGATTGCTGAGAATTTTCAAAGGATGGCTAGATATCAATTTGTTAGAACAAAGCAACTGTGATCTTTTGAGGCAGCAAATTCATTCGAAACTATGTACAAGAAAAGTCTGCTTGCCTGTGGTCACCCACATACACACGTTAAAATGAGTTTCCTGTACAAACCCCATTGAAATGAACAAGAACTGGGAAGGTCCTGTTCATTTAAGTATTCCTTATGCAGGAAAACTTCCTGGTGAACTGATTTGTTGGCTTCTGACATTAATGGTACCAAATTGCAATGGCTGCCTCTGGAGCATAGCACTCCAGAGCTTGCTCAAGCGAGCTGGTTATAAAGTTAATTGATGATGAGGCAGTGATTAATTTGTGCCTGTGTTTTGACTCCATCATCTTTGTTTGGGCAGCTGTTAATTAGACCCAAGCACAATAACTAACATATATTGGACCATCTACTCTGAGAAAGAGCCAACGAGTTTTTGAGATTCACAGGTTTTTGTTCGTTTGGGGAATAATGTTTTTTTTAATTGAATTTTTAACAATAAATAAACTATAAATTGTAGCTTTCAATATACTTCAAATTGTTCTCAGTTATATGCAGATAGGTATGGAGACAAATTAATTCAACAGAGAGCCCCAAGCATCTTGGGCTAACATGCTATTCTCTTGACTCAGGCTACAAAATTGTATGAGTGTAAAAATGCCACAATAAATGGTTTTTTTAAATGTCTGCTGTAATAGGCAGGTAACCTAGCGAACTGTGCTAATTTCATTTCCATTTTATCTCAGTTTATTATGGTTTTATTGAAAAACAAAGCATTAAAAAATTGGTGTTCTTATTCAGGGATGGGCTAACTCTGAGACATATGAAAACCAGGATATGCATTTTAACAATACGGTAATTAAAATAAAACTTCATCCTCCTTTGGTTTACTGTTTTTTTCCTCCCAAACCTCTGTGGGGTACCCACGTATTTCAACGTTACAAAGCAAGACTGCACAACATCTAGGGCAACCTCTAAAGTGGTATCATGATTATCTGGTTCTTTATATAATTTGTACAGCCTGTAATTCACAACCCATGCCCTTCCACACATGGCAGCTATTTGCAATGAGAAGAAAACTCCACTGGTGATGGTAGGAACCTGGCTCCCAATGCAATTACTAGCTGCGGGATTGAGAGGTCCAGAATGGTTCTGCAGTGGGAGCAAAGGGTTAAAGCCCTTCTTTTCCTGCACCATGCCACAGTCCTGATCAGAGTCCTTGTTGGGAGTCCTTCAGCAGCTATTTACTATTTATAAATCACATCTAGTTTGGTTTTTGAGACATGTCAGTCCTGATAGTTTTGCTGCGGCTGTGGAACAACAGAGCCTCTCCAGATGACCTGCTTACTGAATATTCATCCTGATTTGCATGCACAAAACCCATAGGAAGGTTGGACTCTGTCCCCTTGGTGCTGAGCATTCATTCAGATTTGTTTGCATGGAGGTTGTATTACAATGAGCGTTCATCCGGATTTGCTTCGGTTGGTTATATGTCTTCCTGTAAATCCTTTTAATCCAACACTTTTAATTTCTCTGTTGCACCAGGGTGACAGCATGTTTTAATCAGCTTTAATTGCACAGAACTAAATTTCAGGTGGTGCTTTGGGTTAAACCACAGAGCCTAGGACTTGCCAATCAGAAGGCCGGCGGTTCGAATCCCCGCGACGGGGTGGGCTCCCATTGCTCGGTCCCTGCTCCTGCCAACCTAGCAGTTCAAAAGCACATCAAAGTGCAAGTAGATAAATAGGTACCGCTCTGGCGGGTAAACGGCATTTGCGTGCGCTGCTCTGGTTCGCCAGAAGCGGCTTAGTCATGCTGGCCACATGACCCAGAAGCTGTACGTCGGCTCCCTCGGCCAATAAAGCAAGATAAGCGCCGCAACCCCAGAGTCGGCCACGACTGGACCTAATGATCAGGGGTCCCTTTACCTTTACCTTAAATTTCAGGTGATCATTTGAATCCCTCCACAAAATACTGACACAGTCTGGAGAAAACCCTAATAAAATGTTGGGGTAATAGGGGAGGGGTAGTACCTCTGATGGGGGACATGTCGTGCTCCTTCTGGGGTAGTTTGTCCACCTTAGTCCACACCTGTGGCTCCTAGAATCTATCAGCATGCAACAGCGGCCACACCCAGAAAATGGCTTCAACTGGCTAGCTAAACGGGGTGAGGGTTACCAATGGGTCTCAAACCCTCTGTGAGTTAGTGTCTTCCCTTGCACGTGAAGGCAGGCTCTGGTGGATTGAGCGGAGAAGATCAACGGTTGAGTCAACAGTCAAGAAGGCAGTTTCTGCACATGCTGTAGAAGGAAGTGAGGGGCAGATGGGGCTTGTCAACCTGGGAAGGTAGCCCATCCAGGATCAGAAAAACGGATCCTAGACCTCTACTGCTTTGCAATATATCCTTGGGAGAAGAAAAGGCTAAGGAGTAAACCCTACACAGATCTTGAATGGAGTTCCTAAGACAGTTGGATGGTGCCTTCTGGAAACTCCAAACATATTGTTGTGCTTTCCTTTGGATCACATCAGTGAGGCCAAGAAGGGTGTCTTGTCATCTGGGCATCCCAGGACCTCCATACACACTCTACAGACTTTTGCCTTGGGGAGGTCACTTTGGTGTCGCTAGCACAGTGATTTGACTTTGCCCCAGAAGCACACTTCATTTTCTCTTGAGACAGACAGATGCCAACAACAACGCGATCAAAGCAAAATATATTTTTTTTCTGTGTGAAGAACTCCATAGCTATTATTACAGGTGTCTTTGACCATCCAGCATCTATCCATTTGGGCTTCCCACCAAGGCACTTTGCAACCTCAAAGAATTACTATAAATGATCAAAGGGAAATAGTTACTACAGTACCACGAATTCAAAGGAAGCAATGTCTGTGTTTTAGCTCTCAACACCATAGGATTTAACCCTAATAACAGTTTGAACTAGAAAATGATACTCAAGTAAGCACTAACATTTTCTGCAGAGGGTTCTGGGAGCAACCATAGACAGCAGTTTCTCATGTTGGTGTTGTAGTGGAAAGCCCAAACACATGAAATGACCTGGAGACCCCCCATCCCATTCCACTCACGTTGGGCAAGAACCATACAGATGTGCAATGTTTTGTCATCTTATTCAAAGGCACCAGAGCACCTGAACTACTTTATCCAGAGCACTGCTAGGCTTTCACCAGCTGGTCAGAAGTAAGGGCAGATGAGCATTCTTGCATTCCTCCATACGTTTTCAGCTCTTTAAAAAGAACTATTTTTCTCCCATTGGGAAGAGATGTACACATATGTAGGTGAATCAGTTACTTAAAAAGAGGGCAGGATGAGGGGTGCTCATCTCACTACAATTATGGTTTCACTTTGAAAATTCTAGAACCCTCTCCCATCTCATTTTTTAAAATTAATATAGCCTTGCCTAATGGCGGATTACTT